ATTATAAGGCAATTAAGCATCCGATTAAATATTTTAAAGGATTCAGTTAGAAACATTCATTAGTATGTAACAGTAAAACAACAGCTGAATGACAGCTGAGTTATTTCCCCTCCATAAAATACCAACATACCTACTCCAACTGCCCCAAAAAGCTACATTTGAAAACTTTTAACAAGATACCGTGAAGCTGAAAAGTTAAATCTTTCAAATGTTGGAAATTTAACATCAGGGAGCTCTAATTCTGTTTGAATTTAATAATTTGCATGCACACATGCAAAGGGCATGCACAAGGCCCTCTGCTTCGGGGATCACAAGGGCCACAGGAAGTACAAAGATCCCCATTAACTGTCCTATCCCACACTGCTCTGCACAGAATAAAGTAGTTGTAGTGTGTGGCCCTACTCTTAGATGTACTGATTTTTTTGTATTGTGCAGTGGCTTGTAGAAGAAACAAAAAAGGCACGGGAAGATCAAGCCAACAATAGCAGCTCTCTTCACTCGGTTACTAAACACTTAATAGAAGGGCTGCCTCGAGTGCACCTCTTTCAAAACAGATGTTTTATGTGTTGAGATCACTTTACAAGCATTATCAATGATGACCCTCAGCATATTTGTATAGAGGAAGATGTTCAAACATTATTATAGTGCTGGCAGAGAAACAGCATGAATCATCTTATCTTCCTGCTCATTCCACAGATCTGGCCCCAGTGTAACTAGCCCAAATCCACAAATGAGGTAAGTGGTTAACCCACTGCAACCTGAGACCCATATTTTGTTCTGAGGGGTTTCATTTTTGTGCCTTCTCCTCCAGCAAATGCACTAGTTCCAAATCCATTAAGCAGTCTCTTATTTTGTCCGTGTTCAAATGATGCTGGCTGGTTACATTCATTAATGTAAACATGGTTTTACTGAAAGGAATGAACAAAGCAGGAGGGGAAAAAAACCCATGCAATTAAAAACAAACAAAACAAAAAAGTCTCAAGTTGTTCTATTCTCTGTGTGTTTGCTTTCAGACAACAAGAGCCAGAAACAGAGTTCATGTGGACTGTCCTTCTAGAAGAAACTGCAACAGAAACCAGAAACTAAATCCTCACTTGCTACAAGCAAGCTCCCTCACACACATCCAACCCTCAGCTCAGGTTAGAAGGGGTCCCAAGTAACTGTCTCAGGGCCTGGATGATGCCAGGAGCACAGTCCTTGCATCAGCACAGATCAGCTTACATGCTCTGTATGCTCTGAGGATCCGTGTTCACCAAAGACACCTCCCACCACTAGAATCCACAAAAGTAAAAGACCAAAGTCCTCATGGAGGAGACAACCCCAGAACAATCAGCACTATATAATCAGTACTAATACAATACATTTGCCTTTTTGCTTGAGGTTCCTTCATGTGGAGATACAATGGTAGTGCTTAGCTTGGGATTTGCAGAACTGCCTTGTGTATCCACCACCTCCATCTTCATTGTTTTTCTGGGCACAAGCTCTGCATCATCATCATTCTCGCAGGAGTCCTCATGTGGCATCTTGTGGGTTTCCGTTTTGTCTTTTGCTTCTGTAACAGTTTTCCCCGATTCTTCCGCAAATTGCACCGTGTAGGGGTAAAGATTATTCACAATATGCAAAACTTGGCCTGGCTTCATTTTCACCACTTCATCCTTGCCAATATTCATGAGATCAACACTACTTGGGTTGACCCCTATCTTTGGTAGACAGAAAAAGGAAAAAACAGTAGCAAATGATGATTTAAGTGGAATCGCCAACTTCTGCCCCGTTCTCCTGGAATACCACTCACCATCCTGGATAGCAAACGCATTTCGTATTCAGTGCCCCCCTGCCCACATCAACCCGCTTTAGAGGACCAGGGAAGTCCAGCTGTCTATGGCCAGTCTTACACTCACAGCTGTCAGCACACAGCCTCAGGGACGTGGTGTCACAGGGAGCCCGCAGGTCTTGCAAAGCTGACAACAGAGTTACAGCACAACTCGTGCCACACATCCCACAGCAGCAACTATTTCTGAGCACTGACAGTGGTTTTAACAAATTATTTTAGTCCAATCACACGTGGTGTGGGCAACCTGCAGTGACTGCTTCATAGATGGATTTCGCCCTATTGTGAGGGTGACCCTAGGAAAACTGGGACTCTTCAGAAAAATGCTTTTGGTTAATGTTTATGCCTGAAACAGGTGTTGGGAAACCAGCTCCCTCCTGTGACTGTTAAATTCTGTCACAAAGAATTTCTATAGCTTTGTCATGGCAGTACCTGCTTGCTTCACAAGACTAGTCCTGGGCCTCCTAAGTGTGAGGGAGTGGCCCTGCATCCATCCAGCTGGTAACATGAGTGCTTTCAGTGCTGTCTCACATCCATCCTATCCCTTCTCAGAAGTAACCACATCTTTGACTTTTATCAGCCATCAAAACAAAAACCTTCCACAACTGTGTGGTTCCACCAACACAAGAATTTCAATCTCAAATGAAGGGCTCCCTCAGCTTGAGAAGTTTAAGGCTCAGGAGGCAGATAAGCAAGTTTACGGGAAGGACTCCAAAATCTCCCAAATGCAGCACCTGGAAGAACTGATGGAGGATTCACAGTAGCATTCCCTGATGCTGCAAGTCTGTCTTTAGACTTGCACATATCTGGAAGGAATAGTGCAGTCTGTCACTGAGGTGCACAAAGAAAAAGATCACTTATGAGGACCACTTGCTGTGCTCTCCTTTGGTGATAAAACAGCTCCAGGTCCTTCAGATCCAGCGATCAGTGATCAGAATCATCAGCTGGAGCATTTGTGGAGTTAAGTACAACAATCATCCCAGTAAGTATTATAAATATTGTATATCCATGTATAAAGACATACCTGCTTAACTGTGACATATCCCTTGTTATAATCTGCTTTTAACTGAACTGGCAAAAGAGAAAGAACAAAATGTCACAAAACAGTGTAAATAAAAAAAACTCTGATGAACCCCCCCAGTGCAGAAAATACTCCTCTGTTTGAAGGTCTGCTTCCTTCTGAAGCTGACTGCTGTGAATGCATGCAAAGAGCACTTCTGCCTCATCTCCTCCCAGAACCACAGGTAAAACAGAACCAGCCCATACACTGAGCCACACCATGACCAGCAAAATTACTTCAGAAGAAAGTGGAATGTTTGGAGGTCTTCTACATGTTCTTACCAGCTCTCTGTGACAATAAGGCATGCAGCAGGACTGTGTCCAGAGGGACGAAAAATAAGGCAGGGAAGATGTGCCGTATTTTACAGATTACAAGTACTTTCATATATTCTCCAAAAGTATGTTATTTCATGTCTAGAATAACAAGTCACACCAAAAATCAGCTGGTGGAATACTAGGGAGAGGTGCCACTCACAAAGCAGGAGTGCAGGCAGTGGAACACAACTGTGGGCCTGGGAACTCATGCTGAGATTCAGTGCTTTAGTTTATGAAGGTGAACATCCTGTCATTGGGTGTCTCTGATTTTTCAGGACTCAAAGATCTCCCTAAGTGCTTACTGAAAAAGCTTGATGACTTCAAGAACCAGGCAACTCTATGGACCACACAGAGGAAGGAGGTAAGTTCGGTTGCTGCTGCATGTGGAAAGCAGGATTTGGGCTAAGCCACCTTACCTTGCTGCCGTGAACACTTCTTATCGGTTATCCCAGTCTCTGGGCCACGCCCAATTACCACTGCTTCCAAGTGTGGCAGTTTCACTCGCTGACTGCATTTCTCCTTCCCCACGAGCCAGCACACACGCATTGCTGTGCTACAGAGCAAAATAAACAGTGTGTTACCAACACACCACCTCCCTAGAGGCCATCTTCCCATGGAGCAGAGTCTAGGAATTTTGCTGCCAGCCCACCCATTAGCTGAGCCAGTTCTGCTAACTGGTTCATGTTTCTGAAATTCAAGGCAAAGCACGGCATTAACACTCACATAACCTAAGAGCAGGTTGCTGTTGAAAGGACAATGCTGTTTTCCTTCCTACATTACCATACGTTCTCAAAACCATGGATCATATATAGGAAAAATCAATTGGATTGAAGGTTCCATCCGACAGAAAAGCCTACCTACAAAGGAAGTGATTTGTTTCCCACTGAATCAGAGTTAATTCAAGAAACTAACTTAACCGCTAAAACAAAGAGAGCAGCAGAGAGGGGGGATAGCTTCATTCAGCAACAGTCAGCACATGGATCATGCTATGAAACCCTCAGGTTTACACTAATTTGACCCTGGAGAGCAAAGATCCCTCACCCTCCCCCTGCCCGGTGCTCGGCGCTGAGCGCTCCTCCTCTCAACTCTGTGGTGAGCCCACGCCGGCGGAAAGCAAGGCTCGGTCCCCAGTGCAGGACCGGCACTGTCACCACCCCCCCATCCCCACGGTCCCCATCCCCTTGGCAACTACAGGCCCCGTTTCCATGGCAACTCCGGGGCGCCCCCCCCGCCGCCCCCTTACCGCGCGCGCGGCGCTCGCGCCGCAGCCGGCGCAGCCAATCGCCTGCTGCAGCGCAGCTCCCACGTGACCAGGCGGCGGCTGCCGCCGCAGCCCGTGGCGCGGCGCAGGCGTACTGAGCCCGCGCTCTCAAGGGGTGGACGCTGGGGCCTGGCGCAGGCGCAGTGGCGCGGAGCGGGCTGGGCCGCCGACAGGCCTGTGCGGCGGCGAGGCCAGACCCTCGTAGGACGGGGGCGGGAAAAGGGCGCGAAGCGGTGCCGGGAGGGCGGAGGCAGGGCCAGCACTGCGTAGCCGGTGCCGCTCCGTGCCTTCGCTGAGGGGGGCGAGGCCCGGCCGGCGCGCAGGCGCGACGCGATGCGCACGCGGGGCAGGGCGGGAGTCACCGCCCGCGCGGGGCGGGGCGGGGCCCGCGCGCGCCGTGGGCGGCGAGAGCGGGCGCTGATTGGCCAGCCGCACTCCCCTCCTCAGCAGCCATTGGCGGGCCGCCCGCCCGGGCCCGGCGAGCGGCGGGGGCAGGACTTCCGGGGCGGGGCGGGGCGGGGCCGTGCGAAGAGCGGCGGGGCTGCGGGACCGGCCCGAACTTTCCAGAAGAGTCGGGAGCGGCGCCGCCAAGTGCGGGATCTCCGCCCGCAGCCCCGGCCGCCCCCCGCCGCCGCCACCATGGTGAAGGAGACCACCTACTACGACGTGCTGGGCGTGAAGCCCAACGCGTCCGCCGAGGAGCTGAAGAAGGCCTACCGCAAGCTCGCGCTCAAGTACCACCCGGACAAAAACCCCAATGAGGGCGAGAAGGTCGGGGCGGGGCGGGACCGGGCGGAGGGAGCGGGGCGGGGGTCCCGCCGGGGGGGCCCGCAGATGTCCGAGTGCCCGTGTTTCTCGCGCAGTTCAAGCAGATCTCCCAAGCCTACGAGGTGCTGTCGGACCCGAAGAAGAGGGAGCTGTATGACAAAGGAGGCGAGCAGGCCATCAAGGAGGGCGGCTCCGGGGGCGGCTTCGGGTCCCCCATGGATATATTCGATATGTTCTTCGGCGGCGGAGGGAGGATGCAGAGAGAGAGGCGAGGTAAGGTGCCGGCTCTCCGACACTTTCTCAGGGTGCCCGCGGTGGTAGACAGGATCAGAGTCTCCCATAAGAGTACCCTGTATGTAGGAATTGAAAGAGAGTTAAAGGGAAGTGACACGCTTAATCTCAAAATCGAAGAAAACTGTGGTCCCTTAATGCCTGAGACTACAGGGGAGAGAGGACATTTGTTTCCTACGGTGGTAGTTTTGTTTGCCGTTCATTGTCCCCTGTTAATCGCTAACCAGGTGTCATTGTGTTTGGACATCTTTAACCCGAGTGTAAGCCCAGCAGTCAATAGGCTGAATAGGAAATATAAGGGTAACATAGCTTAACATGATTTGTTAGCCATGCTACTGTAAGTATAGCGCCTAAATGTGAATTTCATGTTTAATTGCAAGCAACTGCATCTAAGTAAGGTATCAGAATCAAGTTCAATCTGTGAAACCTTTTGTTTTCTTGCGCTGTTCAGTGGAGTTAAGTTGAAGCTGCAGTAAAATGCTGTTCAGCAGTTAAGCTCCAGATTAATTACACTGGGAAAAATTCTAAACTGGTTAAGAGCAGTGCTGACCCCATCGCCTCTTGGTGCAGATCTGGTGACAAAGGGAAGAAAAAAGAATTTGTATGAAAGTGTTATAGTGTTGTAGCAAAATACTCCTAGTAAGCCAGAGCTAAACTAAGCCTGCAGCAGCTAAAGTTCTAAGGAATTCCTGAGTTCAAAAATGTAATTGCTTAATTCTGTTTCCAGAAAGGCCCCTGGTGAGAGGAAAAAGTGCTGGAGCGCAGATTCCAGACAATGTCTCCCACTTCCTTATAGGACACATGTTCAGTGACCTTGTTAAAACTGAGTCCTTCATTATATAAGTTAAATGGCTGAGATTCTGTATATTTTGTTTCTGTTACTGTTTTTACTTTCACAGAAAGTCTCTTCTAAGGGCAAAGCCATTAGAATTGTTACCTAATTTGAAATCAGATGGGAAGGGACTATTGACTAATGCCAGCAAAACAAGACAGAGTTTTACTGAAACAAAATGTTAAAGCCCGAAGACTGTGTCCTGACTTGAGCATGGAGACATAGGAAGTTGGAGATCAAGCTTACAGACTTAAATATCTGTTTTCTTTTGCAGGTAAAAACGTGGTCCACCAGCTGTCAGTAAGTTTAGAAGATATGTACAATGGTGCGATGAGGAAACTTGCACTGCAGAAAAACGTTATCTGTGACAAATGTGAAGGTAACTGTGAAACTGAAACTAAACATAAGTTGCTTTTTAAGTTACTGGTGTGGTTTTTTTCTGGCAGCACATAACAGTCTGTCTTCAAATTTCATTCTCAGGTCGTGGTGGCAAGAAAGGGGCAGTAGAATGCTGCCCTAATTGCAGGGGATCAGGCATGCAGATCAGAATTCACCAGATCGGGCCAGGAATGGTGCAGCAAATCCAGTCTGTGTGCATGGAGTGTCAGGGGCACGGAGAGCGTATCAGCCCCAAGGACCGGTGTAAGAGCTGCAATGGCAGGAAAATTGTTAGAGAGAAGAAGATCCTAGAAGTGCACATTGACAAAGGTGAGGTGTCTTACTAAGATGAAGTATTGAACTTGGATGTACTCACTGACTTTGCAGCTCTAAAACAGAAGCTTTAGAAAATACATGCTGTTTATTTGGTGAGTAACACTGCTGAATACACATACAGTAAAGTTGCCTGTTGCTGCCTTTTTTGAAGTGGGAGACTTGTTTCTAGGGAAGGTTGACTACTTCTATGTTCCTTTCTAAAACCTGTGCACAGAACTAAAAATGAATTTTAGAACCTGTATTATTCTAAGAGATGAATTATTTTTGAGCTCACTGTAAGCACAGTTCATGGTCAGGAAGCCTAATCAGGTTTCACTGCCTGTAGGGAAACCCCGCAGACTCCGATCACTTCTGCTGTGTTTCAGTGTGAAGGGGAACCAGGTCTGCTACAGTAACAGGGCGCTGAGACAGTGCTAAGCCTCTTGTGCTTAGAGTGCTGCTGGCTGCACAACCTGACAGTGCTGCTCAGTGTAGGTACTCCCTGCTTGGCAAAATGCAGCTCCACATACAAACCCTCACAGTGGTGGGTGAACGTGACAGTATTGGACGGCAAATGCATTTCTGTATAGGGGGCTGCTCAAAAGCTGGTGGGAAAAGTCTCTGGAGTAGTCCAGCTTGTAAGACAGAGCAAGCTTACAACACATGGCTTCTACAGGCTTGCTCTTGATTACCAGCTGCAACTGTTGTATGTGTAAGCGTAGCTTGTGCAATACTGAATTTGTTTTTGATGAGGAAAATCCTACAATAATAGTAAATATGAGGACTAAGAGGGATATAATACTGATGTTTTGAAGAGGAAAATCTCTGACAAGAGTGTCTTTTTCTTTCTAGAAAAATCAGCTTATTTAGCATTAGGAAGCTAGAAGTTTTGGTAGACACACTTTTTTGTGGGTGAAAGGAGTGTCTGACACGAGGATTACAGTCCACTAGAAGTGCTTCTTCAACTTGGCAGGCACTGAGATGATGTTTCATAAGGAGATGTGCCACATATTTCTAAAACTGAAGTAGCTCTCAAAATGGAGTTGGTACGCAGCGTTGCAGTTTTCTTCTTAGTACTTGTGTGTATAATGAAAATTTTATGGTATTCCCCTTAAAGAGTTTTATCTTGGTGGCTGTTTTGATAGTACAATTAAGCTTAGTGACCTTCAGCCATAATATTGATTCAGATTAGCAACACTAAGGTTGGACACGTGAGTGGATTAAAAACAAAAAGAATTCTTCAAGGGAAGATCCTGATGTTCTTGTTTAAAGATCAAGAGATTTCTTGATACCAGCTTGCATCTATAAAAGTATTTCTTGTTGGTGCTTTTCACTTAAAAATAAGGAAAATGTTTATTTGTTTTCTGCAATAGGAATGAAGGATGGTCAGAAAATAACATTCCATGGTGAAGGGGACCAAGAGCCAGGTCTGGAGCCAGGGGATATTATTATTGTATTGGATCAAAAAGACCACTCTGTATTTACAAGGTAAAAACTCTTGAATCCTCTTGTGTTAACTTCTGGTGCCTACTGGAGTGTCAGTGGATACGATCATGTGACTGGAACTCACTGAGTTTGTTTGGGCGGCCAGGGGAGCACCAAGGTGCAGGAATTCTGGTGCAAATAGTCTCAGCCACTTGTGTTCTAGTAGCATGAGAGAATTGTTTGTGAGCTTTGGCAGAGTAAGGGGATAGTAGGCAAACAGAATCAGTTATAGTAATTAAGACTTTACAGGTCTTTAATTTTAAGAACTCTTAAAATACTGAGATTTTATGTGATAGATTTGAATATTTGTGACTCTTTCCTTGGTCACTTTGGGACAGCATTCTATTACTTAGCTCAGAAAATTACCATTTACTATAGGCAGCTGTTTATTGTCCACTTGGCCTCAAGGCATGGAAAACTTTGGAGTGTGTTCACATTTGTTTGGGGATCTTACTTATGACAAACTCGCTCAGTATAGCCTGCACCCTTCTGATCAAAGGTGGTTTCCCTCAATTCATTTCCTGCCTGAGTGCTGTGGGCAGGGTAGTTGGTCCTGCCTGTTTTTTATTGTGAATGCAGAAGTGGCTCAAGCAGCACTGACCACATCTCAGCTATTTCACGTTACCAGACAGTCCTGCTCAGTGTTGCACACCTCGCTCTTTCAAGTTACTGTTTGTGGAATTGGTCTGTGCAGTGCATTTTGGCCCAGTTAAAAGCACTGCTGATAATCTTGCAGAATTGTGTTGTACTTGATGTCGTGCTGCTTCTGTTTAGAGCAGTTAAAAGGGAATCAGTCGATTATTTGTTTCAACACCAACCACTGACCTGGTAAATAGGAGCAGTGACCCAAAAGTTCTTGGGAAACCTGCGGCTGGTCTGCCTGACTATTTTGCATGGTGCTGAGCTCTTGAAGCTGGTGCCAGAATTCTATGCCAAAGAACACTGAGCTCACAGATTAAGAATCAGTTCTGTTTGCTTTGGATAAGCTTACTCAGCTGATTTTTCTTAACTTCCAGTGAAACCAGACACTGAATCAGATATACCAAACTGTTCTCATGGTTTCCTGGGTCTTGAAGTCAGAATTCCGCCAGATTATTTTTGTCCATCTTTCTGCCCACTGCCTTCAGTTCTAGTGTCCTTAGATAACCCTTGATATTACTGGTTTTGTGGGGTTATGCTAAGGTCATGCTCTCCCGCAAGTGGGATGTTCCTCTTCTCCTGTCAAGAATCTAAAATTAGCTTTTCATGCAAGTCTACTTCCAGAGACCTTTCAAAAACAGGGTAAGTGCTATAAGTTGTTTGAATAGGCTGGATGATTTTGTAGCTTCTGAACATGTAAACATCACTGGCACTGCCATACTGAAGCCACAATAGGCAGTAGTTAAAGGAATTCACACGATCCGTTCCAGTTATTTCTTGGTGCTTCCTAAAAGGTACTTGCATCATTACCCAGGGGCCATCACCATTTCAAACTTCCCTAGTAACAGATCTTCAACAGTGAGTGTAACATATTAACATAGAGCAAGGCGGTGCACTTAAGAAAATGAAGGTAGGGATTAATTGTTGCAAGGTTTATGTGGCTGAGAGATCATTTTTTTCTTAGAATTGGAAAGGAGCAGTGGAGTGAAACTGGATGCAAGTGAGCCTTGCTATATGTATTTCTTTTCAGTAAACACTTCTACACTTTAGTTAGCTTGATGTAATCAGTAATGGCTCTCAGTGTGGGTATCATTCCTGTAATTATTGGCTTGAAATGCTACATCAGTATTTGGTATTCTTTATTTAAGTACCTGAGCTTCTGTTAACATTACAGCTTATTGTCATTTCCAGGTTAAATATTGAGATTGGGTATGATCCTTTTACTGTTTCTGCCTCTCTGTGACTGTTGTTTGATTGGTTCTGCCTTAGACGAGATGAAGATCTTCTTCTGGCTATGGATATTCAACTGGTGGAAGCACTCTGTGGCTTTCAAAAGCCTATCACAACGTTGGATAACAGAACTATCATTATTACCTCCCATCCTGGTAAGAGTTGCTTTACTTTCTGTTGGAAGTCCTAGCACAAGGTGAATGTAAGCTGGAACAGAAACATCCAGCTTTGATGTACAAGGGATGTATGCTGGTATCGAGCTCTTTTCCCTAGTCTTTGCAGTACAAATCTTGAAATAAAAAGGGAGTTTTGGAAAGCAGTCAGCAGTAACTTTTTCTTTGCATGACATAGTAACAGACCTTACCTCATGGACATACTTGTATCCTGAGGATACCTCATGAGAATTGAAGGGCGTGGGTCTCTGAAAACCACTTTTTCGGCCTTGATGGAACAAGTGATGGAACACTTAATAAATTTGTAAGTATGTTTCCTTTGGGAAGCATAACAAGGTTACAGGATTTAATTTAGTATCAACCTCCTTTCCTACTCAGATATTACAGGCAGTAAGTCCCTGTTAGACTACTACGTAGTGGTGTAGGCGCCTAACCACAGTATAGAAACCTACATAAATATTAAAGGGACTTAAAACTAAAGCTACTTCTGTTGCCTGCATGTATCTCTTCCCTTTTTTTTTTGTGATCTTTTTGTTTTGCTTTGTTTTTAGGCCAGGTAGTTGAGCATGGGGCTATTAAGTGTGTGTTGAATGAAGGTATGCCAATTTATCGCAGACCATACGAAAAAGGACGTCTGATCATAGAATTCAGGGTAAGTGGGTCAACTCACTTCCATGGCATAGTTCAGGACTGAATATCTATCCAAAATTTAACCTCTAAGCATTACCTCAGTCAAGAAGAGATACCAGTAAACAGATGTTCTGTTTTGGTATTTGTTTTTTACAATGAGTGAGAACATGTAATCCATCAAACAGAATTACAGTTTAGAACAAAGAGAGAACTTCCTGCACACTCTATGCTGAAAGTACCAGAGGAATTTCTTCAGTGACCTTGTGAATTTCCTTTTGTTTCACATATTCTTTAGGAAGGATGGATGAGTAACTTCAACTTCTGTGCTGGAGCAGAAGAGTAGGCTGGAAAATGATGATTTCTTCGCTGGGGAGAAGCTAATGCTGAGAGCTGTAGCAGCAGACTCTGTCTGCTATGGCTTAGAAGATATTTAACCATATCTGTAATGTTAACATTTTGTGTTTATATATACAAATATATAGTTTTATATGTTATTATATGTGTTTTATACTTTGTTTCTAGGCTGATTCCAGAGGCAGCCTGAGGCAGAAGAAATGTATTGGTTGAGTTGCCAGAGTTAGAAACTAACTTCATGCAGGCATTAAAAAATAGCTTAGTGATGTTGTTAATTTCTTTAAGCTCTAGATTTAAGTAATCTGTGATGATAAAGCTGACTTTGGCAGATGTTTGACCTGTATGTAGGAGCGATGGTAAAAGACCAGTTCAGACAGACTTGAGTAACCCCAGTTCTTGATGATTTCAGGTCAACTTCCCAGAGAGTGGCTTCCTCTCTTCAGATAAGCTGTCTTTACTCGAAAAACTGCTACCTACAAGGCAGGAAATAGAAGAAACCGAGGACATGGAACAGGTGGATTTAGTGGACTTTGATCCATCTCAAAAGAGAAAACACCACTATAATGGAGAAGTGTATGAAGATGATGAGCATCAGCCTAAAGGTGGTGTTCAATGCCAGACATCATAAATGGGCCAGTGAATAACTTGTGATGCTTGTTTTGTATGCAGTAGTGGATGAGTGAAGGACTACAGACAGTTCGCCCTCACCTCCTGCTATATGTTGTTCTATCCAGCCATAGTTATTTCTAAAAGCATAAAGGAATAAACTAAATAATTAAACTGACTTTGCAATTTGTATAAAGCTCCAGGATGCAAGCTCCAATGAAGTTGATTGCACTTCATCCCTGACTCTTGGTCCAGAAAACTCCCTTACCTGCTTGTCTTTTCTTCCAAACCTTGTAATTCCTGTATGTGTGCAATTGCCCAGGCTTAAACTTTAAGATTCTGTGGTGTGCTTTTTAGGAATTTTAGATCTTATACTCTGTGAATAAAGTATGCACAAGTACATGGTAAGATGTAGTTAAGTTTTGTACCAATTAGGATAACAATGTTTTGGGCTTATACTGTTGTTTGTTAAACGGGCACTGGCTCTAATGCAACCATGTGATCCGTGAAGCTGACGTGGATGTGGTCAGTCTCCACAGGCCCATTGAAACCATGTGATCCACAAGCTCTCCGAAGCTATTGCGCTTAAGGTCAGATAGTCCCTTCCCGTGCCAGCACTAGTCATGACCCCAGAGCTCGATGTGGAGCTTACTTTGCTTCACCAGTGACTCCTGTTTGGCTGCTGTCCTGCACCACACTGCCTCTAGAGCCAGCGCTTGCTTGGAGCTTCCTTCGCTACTGCGAATTAGTGAAAATCTCTAGGCTTTATCAGCACACATGTGGCTTGGGATCTGTCACACTGCTCCTTGATTTCCGCCTTGGTTACTGAAATCAGATATCCCTCAGTGGTGTGTCATGGAAAGCAGTGCTGGCCCTTTTGGTGGGTATATGTGATCCTGCAGAGGAGAGAAGCTTAGTGAATACAACCGACTGATGCATATAGGATGTTCTGAAATTATGTATTGTGTGCATTATTTTAAGCTGAATCTTGGAAATTCTGTATGAATGTTCTAATTATTGTAGATGAAGCGTTTCCGATATAATTACAAAATGGCTCATTGCCTCCTTTCTTAGACCAGATGTTGGTTTAAAGACACCACCCCCTTCTTTTTAGACAGCTATTCACAGAAAAAATCTTAGCAAAAACCTTTCAGAAAATATGCTGAGAAGACAGGTCCAGATTTAACCTCTAGTGTGGTGCTTTAGTCTTGTTCAACCATCTGGCTTGGGACAGAGCTTATGCTTTTCGTACTGCTTTGAAGCAAAAGTGTCACAAAGATAACTCTTGTAAGTAGCTGCTACGTGACAGTATGTGTGTTGTAACTTGAATATCTGGAAACTCTTAGAAGACAGCTTTTGCTCTTCTAAGTGTTACAGGTTTCATTTTATAAAGACAGCTGTCACCATGGGTTTTGTACCTCAAGTGTAGTTCCCTTTCAGGTATCCACAGAGCAGCAATCGCCTGCATGTTTCCCCTGCTTTTTTGTTTTCTTTATTCTACTCAGCAGAAATAAAATTCTGTAGGCAAAATGCTTTTCCAAATTCTGCTTTGAATGAGCTCATCAGTGAGCTGTACAAATGTGACCAGCAGGTACCTGTGCTCTATTTGAAGGATGGTTTGGTTGAGTGAAGGGGAGAAACAAAGTAATCCTACCTCTGCCTAGGCCTGACTCCTGCACAGCTGTCTTGAGACTTAAACAGCAGTAAAATATGCTACTTATTTTTTACATGTTTATTTTTTTCCTTAAGCACTGGATCAAAACAGCAAGGGCAAACAACACCTATGCAGTGCCTTGAGGATGAGAAGGGGACATTATTTTGCTTCAGATGACTGTATTATTTAAAAAAAAAACACAAAAACACGGGAAAAAAAAAATAACAAACACCAAAAAAGCCAGCATTCTATAGCCTTATTTTCCCAGGAACACTTTCATTTTGCTTTCACCACACCCACAGCTGCACAGTTGAGGTAATGGTCTTGACTTACTTTCCAGACTATGGATGATTCTGTTTCATCCTTGGTAACGCCAGAGGGGATGGGCCAGGTCTAGATTCCAGGAGAGTGGCTGACCAGAAGCTGCCTCTGGAAGCCTTAGCAGAGCAGTCCAGGGAAAGATCATACTACTAATGCAGGAAGGGCTGCGGAAACACCACCAGTTTAGGATTCTGCTTTGAAATGAGCTGGTGACTGACATAAAATCTGTGTCCCAAGGAAATACTGGCAGCATTACAGGGAGCTTTTGGCAAAAAGCACTAGTCAATGATGGCAAGAGCTATCAAGAAGGACCCAGCCCTTGGACCTTCAAGTACAAGGTGTGGCCTCTTCCAAGCTTCTTTTTTGTCCCATGATATTCTAGGTATTATACAGTTACAGCAAGCAGCAAACATGTTCTTTGCCACTGAAAAATAAGACAATTTTTTCTGACTTCTTATTGCTTTATGTGGAATACAGTTTCCCATTTTGGGAAATGAATGGACAGCTGTAGAAATTGAGGCCACAGTAGCACAAAATAGCTGTTTCCATGACTACCAGTGTAGTAATCTGACGTGTTGTTACCTGAGTTGATGCTTGCAGTCACTTCCAGTGTTTTAACACCACCAAATTCATATATTTAACTCGATAGTCTAGTCTATTATAATTATTCTTTCCACTCTGCACCAGGCATCTGAGACTTTTTTTTCCCCCAGAAATCTTGCAGCTCCACTACTGCACAAGTTTGCTGTGAAACAGAACACCCACTGCAGACTCATTTAAGAGCCTGCTCTCATTTTTGCTTCTGCTTTCAGAGCCCTTAAAAAAACAGGTCCTTTCCTCCCCATAGCTTTGAAAACCTGCTACCCAGCAGCAGTGCAAGAAGTCTGCTCAGCCTAGGGGAGTAAACTCAATCATCTCAAATCTAATCTGAACTTGCAGTGTGGTGCAAGGTCAAGCAAGCAAGCAACTTGCCCCTGTGACTTCTTCATTGGCAACTTCATCTGCAAAGACATTTTTATGATTGATTACTGCTTAGAGCATTAGTAAGGTACACTGAGAAGGGAGGTTTGATTTAAGCCAATTTTTTCCAAAAACACATGAAAACAAAAGAAACAAAACCAAAGAAATGCCAGATTGAATGTTGTCTTAGGAGGTAAGATGAGTGCTATTATAGTGCTCAAAGAATGGGGGACTTCAACTACCCTGAAAACTACTGTCAGGAAAACACAGCGGGACATAATAATGGTAACACAGGTAGATCCACGCCTTAGGTAAGTGCTAAGTGCTCTCTGCCATAATGATGGGCACTCAACTCAGAGGTTGATGAAGTGTTGTGGCAGGTGGCTGAATTACAAGAGACAGTTAATACACTGTGCAGTATTAGAGGGACAAAGCAGAGGTAGATAAGTAGGTTCAGAACCATACACTCGCAGTGGACACCACCAAGCATGACGCACCTTGGATGTGACGCACAAAAGCAGGGCTCCAATTCAATCTCCACCCCCCAGACCAAAGCCAGATATGATATACCTATTAAAGGCTCTAGATGTCCATGAGCAAGGCCAGCAAGGAGAACCTGCGCTAGCAGTGCACGGTGGTTACTGTAAAAAGAAATGTTGAGTGAGCGTAGTGGGCGACTCTCTGTTAAGGGGCACTGGAGCACCCACCTGCTGGCCTGATACAGAGTCATGGGGAGTTTGCTGCCTCTTGGGAGCTGAGATCCATGATGTTGTCAGGAGGGTACCCCGAAGTGTCAAAAGCACAGACTACTACCCGCTATTACTTTTTCCTGTGGGTACAAATGACACCACAAGCCAAAAAATAGGTAGGATGGAGGAAAACCATAAAGGCCTGGTGAGGTAGATGAGAAACATTGGTGCCCAAGTCATCTTCTCATTTTTCCTCCTGGTTGGAGGAATCGGGACAGCCAGAAGCAGATGCATAGTGCAGATCAACGTCCTTGTGTCTGGTGCCATTGAGGTTTGGGCTTTTGTAACAATGGGTTGTGCTTTAATGATTGTAGCCTGTTAGTGAGAAATGGGATCCACCTGTCTAAAAAGGGCAAGAGAATCTTTGGGAGCAGGCTGGCCAGTTTGGTGAGATAGGCTTTAAACTGAAGGACTCAGGGTTGGGGTCCAAAGTGGCAATGCCTTTGCCATTTCTTCCCCCTGGGGAGTAGGTCATACCAACCAGTGCGGTCACAGATGTTCCTTGGCTGCCTCTCAAGTTGAGGATCAAAGGGCTAACCACATCCAGGATGTTTTTGGTCATGGTGAATCCTCTTACTCCCCTTCTAGGGAACCTCATTGCTTGATCCTCTCTGAAATGCCTGTATACAAACATATGCAGGGTGGACAATAAACAAGAACTGGAAATCTATGTGCACTCATGGGCCGTGATCTCATTGCAGCTACTGAGACGTGGTGGGATAGCTCACGACTGGAATGTTGTCATGGATGAGTATGTACTTTTTAGAAAGGATAAGTCAGAGAGGTGAGATGATAAAGTTACTCTTTAGGTGAGAGAACAACTTTAATGTATCGAGCTCTACCCAGGGACAGATAAACCAGTTGAGAATTTATGGGTGAGAATTGCCCAGTGTGCCCTGGCAGCCAGGAGGGCCAACCACGTCCTGGGGGGCCGCAGGCAAAGCATCGTCAGCCGGTCGAGGGAGAGGATTGTCCTGCTTTGCTCTGACCTGGGGCGGCTTCACCTTGAATATTGTGTGCAGTTTTGGGTGCCGAAATATAAGAAAGATATTAAGCTACTAGAGAATGTCCAAAGGAGGGCAATGAAGATGGTGAAGGGCCTTGAGGGGAAGCCATGTGAGAATGGGCTGAGGTCACCTCAACATGAGGAAGAACTTCTTTACATTGAGGGTGGCAGAGCACTGGAACAGGCTGCCCGGGGAGGTCATGGAGTCTCCCTCTCTGAAGACATTCAAAACCCACCTGCTCTAGGTGACCCTCTCTTGGCAGGGGGGGAAGACTAGATGATCTCCAGAGGTCCCTTCCAACCCTAAAAATTCTGTGATAATCAGTCCAGGAGATTCATAGAGTGCATCAATGAGAACTTCCTGACCCAAGTGATAGAGGAACCAACGAGGAGTGGTGCTCTGTTGGACCTCATGCTCAAAAACAAAGGGCTTGTTGGGACTGTCCGGATCAAAGGCAGCCTTGGGTGCAATGACCGTGAGATGGTGGGGTTCAGGATCCTGAGACGAAGGAAGAGGATAAAAAGCAAGTTCTCAGCTCTGGACTTCAGGAGAGCAGATCTGCTTTGGAAGATCCCTGAGGGATAAGGCTCTGGAGTGAAGAAGGGCCCAAGAAAGCTGGTTAATGTTCAAGGTTCACCTCTCCTAGGCTCAAGAGCAGTCCCTTCCAGTGAACAGGAAGTGAGGCAAAAATGGCAGGAGGTCTGTGTGGA